TGTACAGTGCAGTGATCAAGCCTCTTCCCCATCCATGAAGTGGTCTCCCTAACAAGACATGACCATCTGACACCCTACAAAATATTACAACATTATTATATTCCCCCAACTGTCCTTCATATCCCTGTGGCAATATTGTAGTTGCCTATTTATGCTGTCTAATCCCTTCCCCTTCTCCCTCTAAAAAACTGAATGAACGAGCAAAGTAAACAAATAGTCTCAGAGATATAGAGGAACAACTGATGGTTGCTAGTTGGGAGGGGGTGGGGATGAGGGAGGGAAGGTTTTTAATTGTTTACATGTGGAGGAGAATGAGCCATAGTGGGGGAAAGATTTAAGAGAAACCAAAGCGTGAAGAGACACAGGGACCAAAGTTTGTTAGATTGCACCTATTTAGTGAAGTAGATTGCAAGATTATCTTAATATGAATTTGTAATGGCCATAGAATTTTAGTATGATTACCCTGCTGTTGGATAATGGAGATTTGACTAAATAAGGAAACTTTTTATTCAAATGATCACTGTGACTTCTTATCTTTGATTGTTGAATCCATCTTTTCTATCCCTCAATTATTCTGCCCATACCCCTGTCTGTCACAGCACTTGTTATACTCACTTAGTACTATTGATGTCTCCCTCTTGGGCCACATGCTTCTTGGGAGTGGGGTTGGGGGGCGGGGGATGAGTAGAAGCCATATCTAATGCCACTTAGCCTCTGGTATAACCTCCCTTTAATAAATTTTTATTGAATCAGTGAATCAGTAAATGACTCAGTTCCTTATCTGTATCATTTTTGAACAGCAGTTTTGTTTTTTTAACTTTTATGGGTTAAATGGTATATATATCTACCCTGTGCAGATTTTGTTGTCTATTATAAATTAAGTACATAAATACTTTAAAGTATGCCCAGGTACCAATGAAAAGAGGACTTTAAATATTTTGGGTGCTAAGAGGGCCTTATGGTTTCGTACAACCTAGAAAGTTTCTTAGGTTTATCTTTTTAGAGATTTAAGATAAATTCATTATCATCTTAAAGCGACCGGTTGTAATCTATCTAGATGTGCAGAAATATAGCTAACCTCACATTTTTTATTTCCTGTTTTCTTTGTTTTTTGTTTTTTTTTTTTAAAGCCAGTGATGCAAATTTTAAAAACTATCTTTCCTGTGAATGTGGCATGTAGTTCCTCCCCAAATATATTATGTTACTCATTGATGTCATGGAATTTTTCTTTTTCAGAATCCTGTCCAAAAGATCCCTGACTCTCATGAGATAACGCTAAAGCATGGTACTAAAACTGTAAGTATTAAAAATTTGATTCGTTTCTCTCAATTACAGAGCTCTTATGGAAAAGTGACTTAATAAGATAACATTTATATTAAGGCTAATTACACAATCAACTGGTAACATAAACACTCTAGACATTAAGGAATGATTACTTTTCTGTTAGTCAAAATAGCCATTGGGTTTCTTTTAAAATAGGGACACTTATTATTGTCATTGTTATTGTTGGCTTTAAAACCTCTTTTTCTTTGATATAAGAACATTACAAATGAAAGAAACGAAACTCAAGTATGGTTTTCTTTTTTATGGTGTGGGAAAATTTCTCATTACTCTTAGCTTTATTTCTGTATCGGTAAAAGGCCTGAGTCATTTTTTAGATGACTGTTGAGATAAGAAATGAACATAAAATAGTCATTGCTCTTAGATTATATTTCTTAGATTTATAGATTATATTGTTATATTTATTTGTTAAAGATTAATAAAATAAAATATTGAAATATAGGATGAAATCATTTTACCTCATTATTACAAAACCTTTAAAAAGTGATAGTTGAATGAATGACACCTGCTTATAAATAAATGAAAGAATAAAATTATCTTGCTTTTCCTTTATAATTTAGCTACCTTTTCCTAGATGTCTGACATGTAAAGAAGAAAATACATCCCATAATGAGGGGGAAGTATCAATCTATAGAAATAAGGGCCGGCTGAGTGGCTCAGTTGGTTAAGAGCTCGCTCAAGAGTTTGAGCTCTGAGCAACAGCGGTTCGAGTCAGCCCGAGCTGAGCANGGGGAAGGGGAACATTGTGTTTTTCCAGGACCCATCAGCTCCAAGTCAAGTTGTTGTCCTTCAATCTTAGTTGTGGAGGGCACAGCTCAGCTCCAAGTCCAGTCGCTGATTTCAATCTAGTTTCAATCAACTGCCATGCGGGAGTCGAACTGGCAACCTTGTTGTTAAGAGCATGTGCCCTCATCAGCTGAGCCATCCTGCCATCTGTTGGCAGCTCAGTGGCAGCTCAGCTCGGGCGCAGCTCACTGGCCCATGTGGGAATCAAACCGGCGACCGTGTTGCTCAGAGTTCACGCTTTTAACCAACTGAGCCACCCAGCCACCCCTGGGTTGCTTCTTCTTAATTGTTACAGCCTCCCGCCCCACTTCCCTGTCAGACTCAACTCCTATGCCTTCCATTCCTGCCTGGAATAGTTAATGCTGTGGATAAGGGTGGGCTCTTAAAAATACATTAATAAGTAATAGTGAAAAATAAATATCACTGCAAGTGAGGAATATTGCTGGGCTCTTTAGTATCTTTATAAGAAAGAAATTACCTACTTTTCAATTATGTATGAAACTTTTTTGTTTTTTTAATCATATGTGAATTTATTTTCCAGCTTTACTGAGATATAATTGACAAAAGTTGTACAGATTTAAGGTATACAATGTGATATTTTGATGTATGTATACATTGTAAATGATCACCACAATCAAGTTAATTAACACATCCATCACTTCATATGTAACAGTTACCTTTTTTTTTGGTGTGGTGAGACCACTTAAGATCTCTCTTAGTAAATTTCAAGTATACAGTATGGTATTATTAACTATAGTCACCATGTTGTACATTAAATTTCCAGAACTTAATTCATATTATAACTGAAAATTTGTACCCTTTGACTAGACACTTCTTAAAAGCTTTAATTTTTTCAACTTAACCTGGAACAATAGTTTAGTCAAATGTAGAAAATTTCTAAAACAAAAATGTGTGAGTGCTGTGAAATGTCAAATTGCTACTAAAGGTGGTGGAGAACCAGTGAAGGTTTTTAATGAAATGACCTGGGCAGAGTAACATCACGGTAGTGAGCAAATGCGGAGAGAACTGGAGAAAATGGAAGTCACAGAAGGACTTTCCCATGACACAGGGGAGTGTTCATAGTTCCAGATATGAATAAGTTTAAGGTAACCCATGTCATCATAGACTATCATGAATTACGTCGTCCGATTCTTTTACTTTTATAAGCGAAAAAGCTGAGGTTCTATTCAGTTAAATGGCTTAGCAAAGGTTACAAGTGGAGTTAATCGCCGAGTCCAGTCTACAGTTGATTTCATGTCTTTGGATTTAGCAAATAAGAATAAAAGCTGAAATATTTGTAAAATTTTAGGGTGTCAGAAAATGATAAGGCATATGTTCATGGTAGCTTTTGAAAATAAATGCGTCATTTGGTATAAATCCTTTTGGCTTATCACCTGCCATTGTTATGTGATAAATAAACAGAAAATTGTCTTCTTTGTGTTGACTGATAATGTCATGGAGTTTTAAAATAATAATATAATTCCTGATAAGATATAAGAATGGACTATCCTTTTTGAGTTTTTTAGCCCTCACACAGTATAAAAAGTTATTTAACAATGCACTCTTAAGTCACATTACTGAGAAATGTTCTCAAAGATTACAGCTTGCAATAGGGCATAAATAGTTTGAAGGTAATTTAGAGGTGGTTTGGGAATACTACTAATTGGAGGATTGGAACCAGCTGTGAGAATTAGGTAGGAAATTGTCTTTCCTTCCTGCAGTATTTTAGACATGTAACTACATTTTTGGAGGAAGATTTTAAACATTTGATAAAGTCTATTAGAGCACTGAGAAGTAGTCAGGCTTAATAATATGTATCTTTTTATAATGTTTTTTTGTATTATGTGGGTTATACCTATTAAAATTTATTTTGTAGTTTTCGTAAAATATGTATATCATACCATTTACAATCTTAACCATTTTAAATGTATAGTTCAGTAGTGTTACATTGTTGTGTAACCAGTCTCCAGAACTTTTTCATCTTGCAAAACAGAAACTCTATACATTAGAGTTCAACAACTCTCAATTTCCCCCTTGCCCCAACCCTAGCAACCACTATTCTACTTTCTGTCTCCATGAATTTAACTCTTCTAGACTATTGTCGGTACTTCATAAATGGAATCATACAATATTTATTTTTTTGTGATTGTCTTATTTCACTTAGCACAAGGTCTTCTAGGTTCATCCATGTTGTAACATGTATCAGGATTTCTTTCCTTTATAAGACTGAATAATATTATATTCCATTGTATGTATATACCACTTTTGTTTATCCATTTATCCATTGATGGACACTTGGGTTGCTTCTACCTTTTGACTGTAGTGAATAGTGCTGCTATGAATGTGGTGGGTGTATAAACATCCCTTCGAGATGCTGCTTTCAATTCTTTTGGTATATCTTCACAAGTGAAATTGCTGGATCACATAGTAATTTTATTTTTAATTTTTTGCAGAACCACCATACTGCTGTTTTCCATAGCAGTTGCATCATTTCCCTCCAGCAGTGCATAAGAGTTCTATTTTCTGTACATCCTCTCCAACATTTGTTTTTCTTTTCTTTTTCAACAATAATAGCCATACTAAGTGTGTGTGACGTGGCGTCTCACTGTGGTTTTGATTTATATTTATTTCCCTAATGATCAGTGATTTTGAGTATTTTTTCATATGTTGGTCATGTGTATATCTTTGGAGAAGTACCTACTTAAGTCCTTT